TGTTCTTTTGATTCTTTATATTTCAATCCCAATCTTGAAAAATGATGATCATATTGTATTTACCAAGCTGTGGTGAGCTGACTTTACATTAGATATTGGGAACTAGATGGAGATTAAATAAATTTGATCAGTGATCTGAGGCAGATTTCAAACAATGTAATATTTCCTCCTTGGTTTGATCCCAGCTATGCAAACTTGGGAGAATAATACATTTTGTCTTTTTTACTGGAGCACTGTGGCTCAAATGTATGAAAGGAAAAACAATCAGTCCTATGGCACCTAAGGCCTGGTTTACACTACATTGGAAGGTCAAAGTTAGATATGCAACTCCAGCCACATAAATTATGTAGCGGGAGTCCACATATCTTACATATTTTTTCCATGCCATCCACACAGTGGGAGGCCAATGGGAGCAAATGCTCCCGTTGGCTTCCCTTACTTCTTGGTGAGGAGCAGGAATACCAGCGCCAATGAGGGTGCCCTCTGAGTTTGATCTAGCAGGTTTATACTACACCCATTAAATTGAACCCCAGAAGGTCGACCTAGAAGATCTCTTCTGCATAGTATAGATGTGCCCTGAAGACTAACAGATTTATTAGGGCATTTGATGAAGAGAGTGCCACAGGACTCCTCTTAGTTTTTGCAGACTAGCACATCTATCCCTCTGAAACTTTTTAGTAAGAAAGAAAGCATGCTCTAATTTTGTATTGTCAGTGGCCATTGCAAGTGTGTATATTTGGAGTTTGCATAGGCACATGCACATTTCCATACTCATAACTCAGGTATATGCAAACTGTGCACATCTTTTTAAAATATGACTCTCTATTTTATACCATGAAATACATGAAGATGGGTGAAAATTATTCAATTAATTTGGGAAACTTGAAACCTTTTCCAGACATAAGCGCTCATTGTTTTGTTTTGTTTTTATTATTTTGCTCTTTCATCTCTTATTACGCTCATTGAAAGACAGATTGACATACAAAGCTTTTGCAACAAAATACCATACTTGATGATGCAACCAAATTTGTCCTTTTCTTGCTGGGTGGCAGTTGTACTGTGTGTAGATCATTGCATTGCTACTATCAAAGAGCATATGCAAGGATTTAGTTTTACTCTAATTGGTGCTGCATTGTTCTCTTGTGCCTCTTTGTGATCTGTTTTACTCTGCAGTGTATTCATGAATGTTAATGTTATAAAATTGAAAAAATAACTGATATCAAGGCAAAGGTTATTATTCAGAATCTCTATATATTTCAAATCTGTAAATTAGTATTTTTTAACTGGTTTGTGTGAGCTGAAGTAGAAAAAAGTAAAAAATTAATTGCACCTATTTAATTTAAGCATTAGTTTTCATGTACCCTTTCAAAGACAGTAGAATAGCATTGTTGCACCAAAAACATGTAGACACAGATTACATGGCTTTTCCCTCAAAGGCTGTGTCTACACTGGCCCCTTCTTCGGAATAGCCATGCTAATTTAGAACTTTGGAATAGGGAAATGCGTGGGGGATTTAAATATCCCTCATGGGATTTAAATAAACATGGCCGCCACTTTTTTTCCGGCTTCGGGAAAAGCGCGTCCAGACTGGCGCGATCCTCCGGAATAAAGCCCTATTCCGGAGGATCTCTTATTCCTACTTGAAGGGCTGCTTGAAGTAGGAATAAGAGGTCCTCCGGAATAGAGCTTTATTCCGGAGGATCGCGCCAGTCTGGATGCTCTTTTCCGGCTTTTCCCCACGCATTTCCCTATTTCAAAGTTCTAAATTAGCATGCTATTCCAAAGAAGGGGCCAGTGTAGATGTAGCCCACGTGTTTAGTAAGAAAAAATAGCAAACCTCACACGACTTCCCTTTCCTGGTTATGTTCTTTAAAAAAGAGGAAAGTTTAAAGATCGCAGCTGGGACCATTCCATTAGCAATTAGACTGCCAATGAATGCACCATGTCTTGGTGTGAAAACCTGACATAAAAAGTGAACAAAATATTCTTGCCCATGGGATGAGCAGTATTCTAAAGGCTCACCCCTGAAATATAACAAGTGACCACATTTCCATTGACTTAAGTGATTTTCATCAGCTGAGTATCTGGCCCTTTTTCTGTATCTATTCACCATTTGTTAATTTATTAATTACTCTGATTAAAAAGCATTCTGCTCCTCATGTCACCCTCCCTGCAATGTGCTTAGGAGAGTGCAGGTGAGTACAGCTCTGCCTTGAATGACAAAGTTTGTCATAAAATCAGGTATAGGGCTGCTCTAAGGCAGTAGCTCTCAACCTTTCTCAACCAGATTACTGTTCCCGTTTTCAGGAGTCCGATTTGTCTTGTGTACCCCATCTTTCACCTAACTTAAAAAATAACCTTCTTGCTTACAAAATCAGACATAAAAATGCAAAAGTGTCACAGCACAGTGTTAATGAAAAATTGGTTACTTTCTCATTTTACCATATAATTACAAAATAAATATTGTATGTACATTTCAGAATATAGAGCAGTATAAACAAGACACTGTCTGAAACTTTAGTTTTCACTGACTGGGCTAGTGGTTTTTTTATGTAGCTTCTTCTGAAGCTTTCACAGCATCTCAGCCCTCTGCTGTAGATTCAGAATGTTGCGGTTATCAAAGAAAACAAAATCCTATTCTCAGCGGGTAAAATTGCAAGCAGTTAAAGGAGACATGATGTTTAATATAATATGCAACATCTCTTGAGAAAAAGAAATCTCTTGTGGAACTCTGGACCCTCGATGACTCCCAAGCTGCAGTAGCAATGCTCCATTGGAGCGGTACTACCAAGTCTTTCCTCCACTCATGGCTGCTCCCAGGAAGAGGTCTTCAAATAAAAGATTACACATCTGCAGGCTATAATCACTGTATAAGTAAGATACATGATCAGATCCCAGGTACTCATCCCTCTGCTTGGACATTGAAGCAAGCAACTGACCCATCCCTTCTGTGCTGGAGGGGAAGATACACATGCAGGTGTTTAAGGTCCTCTTTAGAGATATGGATCCAGTTTTGCCAGAACCATTAACTTCAGTGGGAATACTGCTGGAATAAAGGCAGAATGAAAACTGATGCCCTCTAGGTGAGGGTAGTTATCCATTGAAACAATATACACCAACAGTCCTGGTTGATTCTCCATCACTGGCAGTTTTTAAATCAAGCTTGGATTTTTTTTCTAAAAGATATAGTCTCTGAATTATTTTTGGGACGCTATAGGGCCTGTGTTATACAAAAACAGTAAGATGAGTGATCACAATGGTCCCTTCTGTTCTTTGTGAGATTTCATTCTACATACTCAAAATGTAAACAACATACATTCCCAACATTACGCCACTACATGTACATTCTCTTAGGTTTTCTTTATTTTTTTTAGTTCAAGAATTACACACTAGCCAACATTATTATTATATATTTACATGCTGAAACTGGCTGCAATAAGTTTAAATTCAAGAAAATATCTCTTATGTGCTACTCATTTACAATCATCATTTTACTACCTCATTTATCCCAGAGGTTAGCAGTCCTTTTGAGAAAGACATGAAGATCTGATGCAATGATATCCAATAGTATTTTGCATTTTCTAGCCATTGGAAAATGTGCATTATGTGCATTATAAGAAAGGCTACAAGGTCATTAGTAAGGCTGATGATTACTACATTATGAAGTAAATAGTACTAAGTAAAAATAAGATAAATCAGAACTGTGCAAAGACAGTACTAACAGAACCATTTAAACACCCATGCAAATAAAAATGTGTAGGAAGTCAAATCATAGTTAGCCTGTTAGAATTACTTATGTTTCAAATGTCCACATGATCTTTAACTCAATCCATATGATAGACCATAAGCAATACAGCCTGGTGAATATTTGTCAAATGGCAGTAACAGTAAAAACATACAAAATGTTATCAAATTGGAATAGATGATCTCATGGCTGAGAGAAACATTTAAAAAAATAAAATGAAAGTATAGCTAAAATTTCCAACATTTCATATTCACAGTCAAAGCACTTACTAAAAAAAGTCATGTGAATACATATGAATGTGTGTCTTGCATATAGTTGTGAGATTATCTATTTCAATTTACAATTAATTAATGGATATTTAAAGTGTTATTTTTACAAAGTAGAATAGGGCAGTAGTTTAAATTAACATTCCATTTGCTCCTTAAAATTTTTGACAAAGTTCCTAGTGCATTTTGTTAAACTTTACCTTTGGTGTTAAGCAGTGATTTATTAGTTTTCCCTTTTTAAACAATTTCTGGAATGAAGATTCTTTGGCTTTGGGGAACTATACTATCTAATGACAGTCAACATGCTTTTATTTTAAAGTCTACTAATACATATCATACGAGAGACATTTCAGGAACAGGCGCAGTACTGAAATCATTATGGGCTAGATTCTCTTTTACACTAATATCCCTTCAATCAACTTGTGAGAATGGTATAAAAGGGTGTTAGTGTAAATGAGAATCAGGTCCTACCATCTTAATGTTAATCTGAATACTGAGTGCTGAATTACAATCTTCTGATGCTTTAATTTTTTAACCATACAAAAATAACCTGTTATGCAAACAGTTGTTGCAATGACTATTTTACACTACTTTCCTTGAATTTTTGTATTAAAACTCTTATCTCAAATCCAAATCTGTTTATGCAAAAGGGTGTTTAAATTACTCTGATAGAGCACTGCAATTATTGTACTTAGTAAAAAAAAAGTCACTAAACAATTACTGTATCTATTGACTGCTCATTTACAGCTTATTTAGATATTTACATTTTATTTTAGGACACATTAACCTAAACCATAAATAGAATCAGCTTTTTGCCTTACCATAAAGTACAAATTAGAAGTTAAAAATGTTTAAGAAATCTGATAATATTTACACAAGTTTAGCTTAATTAATGGTTGCTCACATTATATGTTCTATATACACATAGCAAAATGTTATGATGACTACTGTTATAATATTGTACCCTGGCCACCCCCACCCTCCCTCCCTAGGTTATTTTTCTATAAATATTTAATATTTTTGCTTTTTTCATGGTATCAATAGGACCTTTTTCTTATTGAAAAGTTACTAGTGGACAGTGTTGTTATTTAAAAAAAAAGAGAAGAAATAGGCAAGCAATGTGAGGACTAATCTAATTTCAGATGCGAGGAATACAGTACTATCATAAATGTCAAACTGTGCAATGCTTCATAAGAATTATATGCATTGATTTGCTGATATAGAAATGCTCAGTTACCCTGTATAGTAAGATTTTTAATACATTAATTTGCTTCCTCAAAAAATTATTCATACACTGGTTGATGATAGAAACAAAATTCTTATTAGCTTATTCCTTTAACACACCAACATATGAATATGTGTATTTATACCATGTGTATATAAACACATATGCATATATAGACATATATAAATATATTTGTCTACATACACATACACTTGTATAATGTTTAACATTTATTTATTTCTTTTATGTTAAGTACTGTGTTAATTATGGAATTGAAACACAGTTTAAAAAGATATTTGACCTTTCGTTTGAATGCACACTTTGCTTAAAATAAATATAATTTGTTCCCTACGTATAACCCCGCCCCTCACTTTCTCTATGCATTGTGCTTTTGTACCTGACACATTGTATGTCCTTTGTATGAGAGTCTAAAAACTCTCAGTATTTAAGACTCTGGTTCTATCCCCCACTCTTCTCCCACTGGGAATGATAAAGGAAATAATAAGAATGACATTGCTTGAGTCTTTCTTCCTAGTTATTAAACCACAATAGGATAGAAACATAACATTCCTTATGCAAACAAAGAAATATGTTGCATGAGTTTTCATTTCTGAAAATGCATATCATACTTACTAGCAGTCATATACAGTTTATATTTACATATTGATCTCAAAGATATCATTAATTAAAACTGTGCCATATTATAGTCATAATTTGCCCATGAATTTCTCAAATATGAAAAACACCTTAATTGCTGGCTGTTCTTTATAATGAAATAACAACACATGTATTTCTAATTATATTACAAACATTACCTAAATTATAACTTTAATATTTTAGCTAGTGGATCTAACAACAGTGAACAAAAGTGGAAGGGTTTGAAGAATTCTTTTTAGGTAGATTCTAAACCTAAAGCTAGTTTAGTTAGCCTGATTTACTCAGAGGATAGTATACATTATAAAAAGCACAGCTGTTGTATGCTGGCATAATTTATCACTTTAGTCACAAGTGTCCCAAGAAGAGGAATAATGACTTACACTCACTTGGTTCTCATTTTTCCTTGCCAGGATTTTGTCAGTCCTCTTCCTCTACACAACTACAACCTCCTACCCTATTCACATCACAGATACACATCTATATTAGAAAGGGTCTTCCAAAAGTTTTTGTACATGCAATTAGTAGCCATAAGGAAATTAAAGTGCTACTTTCTCCTACTGATACATCCTTCTCATTGACACCTGAGTAGAAACCAGACATTTTCTCTTACCTGGAAAATAGCAACATTAGAGAGTATTATGGCTTGCACTATAACTTCAGATAAATTAATATGCAGTACTAGCATCTGATCTCCATAGTTTTGACTACAGCTCCCTGCTAAATTAATGCAGAGAGTAAACATACTCTCTACTAGGTGTTATATTTGAGGCATATCTACCATCTGTGTGCACTGTGCTCCCTGTATTCAAACTATGTTCCATGAAATACAAGTGTTAAAGACTTTAAGTGCATTGAATGAAAACTGCGACAGCACCGGGTTATCACAAAGTGTTCCATACATGAAAATAGACTTATAAGACTGTTACCAATTTGTGGTGTGGATTCGCTCTCAAAAATTCAGGACGAGTTTGAATGATTCATAGAAATTCAGACTTCAAATGCATTTACAAAAGCACATTGCTCTGAATTGTGAAATGCTCTGAAAACATGGGTGAATGCCATGGAAAGACTAATCACATGTTCAAAAGCTTGATTCTACATTCAATTCAGGTTTGAACACAGAGGCAGTAGTGAGTATCCATCATTCCCCTGAAGAAGAGAGTTGTGGATGCTCAAGCACATCTAATTTTCAGGTTCTTAACATAATAAAACTTTTTTTCTCTATTTCTGAGGCAGAAGCCAATGATAATTGGAAAAGAAGTAAAAAAATATGGAGTACATTTGGTTTATTCATTCTCAAAGTTGTTTCCCTTCAATTATTTGTCTTTCCTAAATCCCCCTCTATAGAAATGTTCAATTTTTAAAAGGAAAGAGAAAACATCTATTTCTATTAAAAATGTTAAGGACTCATTCTTAAAATCACTGGCAATTGAATACGGAAAACAGAAAACATAGCTATAAGTTTTCCTCTAATATGTCAGAAATACTACTACTCAGAGCATGATGGAATTCTGTAAATAGTTGAGAGGTAGTATAGATATAATAGGGTGTGACTAGTACTATCATAACTATTTTCTGCTAAACATCAGAGTGAATAGTTCTGTAGAAGTCATTGGTGTTTTTTTCTTATTACTATCATCATTTTTTATTTTTCATTAAAGCGGTACATTTTTTACCTTGCCTTTTCTACCTTCACTGCTTTGAAATATTTATCCTATTAAAATAAAATTACATGGAAGGAAAGACAAGAAAATACTATTTTTAAAAAAGGCCCGCACTTTCTAAGGCCAAATTGAATGTTGCCAGTTTTTAAAGGAAACCGTTAGACAATCTGAAGCAGATGTAAGCACAGTAAATAACATAAAGGCATATCTACCAAATCATCTCCTTTAAAATATCATTTCATTTAAAAAAAAACCAATGCTTGTTACTGTCTAGTCCAGCTGGAGAAAATATCCTATCTGTAAATTTTCTGTTGAAGTTACAAAACTGGAATGTTCTGAAATCTAAATTCATCAAGCAGCTAAAATATTTCCCCCCATAATTATCTGCTGTCTGAATAACTCTCTTTAAATTGGATGTTAGATGCTAAACATAAAAGTGATTCTGAGGTGTAAAGCATGAAAACCTACAAGCTTGAGAAAGAAAATGCTTAATTCCATACGAACATTTTGGACTAATACAGGAACTATGACTGACAACATTCATTTGTACAATATAATTCTAGCATTCCTTTTCTCTGGTGCTGCATTCTTGAATGGTTGTCACTTGTCTCCCTTCTTCTATCTTAAAAGAGCAGGGCACAAATGGTTTCCATTAGCCATCTATACAGTTGCTATTTGTTCAAGCAACATTGGCACTTCGGACAAATGACTGAGCGTATCAATGTGGCCATTTAGGCTATGATAGCTTGGCCCATCTCTAACTCTGATATCCATACTTCTTCACAGATCAAAAGTACAATGCATTGTGACCATGAACTTATGCCGACTCTTTCCAATACAAAACACTAGTGTTGCTTAAATTTCTGGCCAAACTCTTGACTCGCTCATAATATCAGTCAAAGATTTAGTTAATCTTTCAATAAATAACTAACCACAATTACCTGACTACTGCTTAGAAAACTTTGACAACATCATGATGAAGGTGAGATGATAGGCACTGCTTGTTTTCAAGTTCATACATTTAGAAGATAAGTGTATATATGTTTCATAAGCATGGTAGCAACTTAGTACACTCTTCAATCTAGTTTAGATGTATGTGTATTAGATGTGCATTTTCACAAAGAAATGACACATGCTACTGTTAAAACTCAAACCTGTCTCCCAAATTTCCCTTTTGTATAGTTTTAAACTCATAGGAATGTTGAAAAAATGGCCCGAATTAAATTTTTGCCTTCACTCTTCATATACACCCACATTTTTAAAAGGGAGATAATGTTTCTACTGTAATTAAGAATGTTTATGACTTAGCAGAAGCAACCCAAATGTTACAAAACAGACCACAGAGTGCACCAGCAACTAAGGTGTTTTAAAGTAACTTTTGTCCTGAATAGAATTTTTCTAAGTCCCACCTTTGGCTGTACAACCAATTTAAAAAGAAATCCAGTTCTTGCTTTCTGTGTGGCTTTTGTTTTTTAGTTCACATAATAAAGCCAATAGACAATATTGAAGAAGGAAAAAACAACAGGAAAGAATATGCGTGACCATCGATCTATGGCATTTACATCAGTCAAGTCAGGGATGTTAATTTTCAGTTGAGAGGCACGTCTCCGTAGCCTACTTTTCTTTTGTGCCACATGTCGCTCCAGAGCATTGCGACCAAAGCTGTGTCTGGGCAAGCCAGCTTTCCGGTACTGGATGCTTGAAGTATCGTAGGCCAGCATAGTGCTTCTAGGGTCTCCAAGTCCCATAACAGCCTCAGAGGCAGCCATCTCATTTTTAATCTCAAGTGTACTCAACAAAATATTTTCATGAGGATCCATCTGTAAGATATAAGAAGGAAGGCTTAGCATAAGGGAAAGAAAATCCCCAAAATTTTCTGAGGATCGGACAAGAAGCAATGGGCTTAAATTGCAACAAGGGAGGTTTAGGCAGGATATTACAAAAAAAACTTCCTAACTGTCAGGGTGAATAAACATTGGAATAAATTGTCTTGGGTGGTGGTAGAAACTCTATCACTGGAGATATTTAAAAGCAGGTTAGATAGACACTTGTCAGGGATGATCTAGACAGTGCTTGGTCCTACTGTGAAGGAAAAGGACTGGATTTGAAGACCTCTTGAGGTCATTTTCAGGTCGAGGATTCTAGGATTCTGTCAATTATAAACGTAGTCTGCACTGACAAGTTTGGAGCTAATAACAATCCACTGGATGCCGATCTATCTAAAAAAGCTTCTACCACTGTCCTGAAAATACAACCATTACAGTATTTAATGTCATTCCTTTGTAAATGTTAAGAGTAATAAGGCCTGTCCTCTATGTTTGAAGATATTTTATTTCCTGAATCCCAGATTTTGAGATCAGAGGTAATACATATATATGTCCCAGAATCACTGGCCACTTCCTAATTCCACATGTCTAGCATACGCCTCCATGCATCTTGAAAAAATAGGGTACTGCCTTTATGCACACATATCTGGGATTAATATAGTGCTAAGGTGTTTTTGTTTGTTTTTTTACTTCCAAGAAATGCAGCCTCTGCTTTGTCAAGACCTCCAAATGTGTACAGCATAGGTGAATTCAACATTGCTATACATAAACGTGAGAGCATGCCCATGAGGCTAAAGTAACCGTGATTTTCCCCTCCATGATATTCAGCAGTTTTGTAAGCAGATCATTTATGAAACCTTGAAATTCTAACACAACCACTGATTACTGGGAGAGAAAATTCTGACATGCTCTATGTTATATCTAGTCTCCACTCTCCAATGCTCATGATCTTCATAAGAACTGTGCATGTTAGGACATTTAATCAGACCAGAGCATTGGCAAGAACAGAGGGCTGAATTTTAGAGGCAAGAAAAAACATGCATTTATTTCAGAGTGTAATCACATTAAAGTTAGTTGCACATTCATTTCAATATGTGGTTAATCACTTTTTAAAAAACTTAACTCAAGACAAGTCAATAAAAAAGTTTGCAATAAAAAACATTAATGTAATGTTATTATTAAAAGCCTTAATTACACTAATATAAATCTGTAGTGCAACAATGACACTTAAAACTTTTAAAAATTTTTCTAAGATCAATATATAATCTTACTTAAATTCCTGTACTTTTCCCATCAATTCCCATGTAGCTATTACAAGAAATAGTATTTTGAATTATGAAAATACTGAGGTCAACTATTGGAAAATGCTAGATAACTAATTAAGATAAATGGCAAGTTAAAAGCCTTTTTCAAAATTTCATTTTCCATATTGTCTACTCCGGATATGAAGGGTAAAAATCTGATCCTAACTGAAGTCAATGGGTGATTTGTCATTCAACCCAATAAGGGCCAGTATTTCACCAAAAGACTGAATGAGAGTCAGTCTTGGCTTAAAAAGGAAGCTAGACAACTGTATATTGACAAGAGTCTACTTTAGGAATGACATTGGTTTAAACAAATTTGGTCAGAGCTGAAGTTCTTTGAGACTGAACTGACTGAAGAGTTTATCTGCTCTTTGGCTCACAAGGTGTTCTATAAAGAACATTATAGAATATACTGTATATGAAAATACAAATATAGGAAAGATTTATTCTAGTCAAAAGGATTTGGAACTAGATATGCTAGAGTAAACAGATATTAACTTTTCTTCACTTAATTATACACACACACACACACACACATATATTTCTGCATCTTCTAAGGCTGCTGTTGACATATCATTAAGATCACTGAAATGTTAGCACGAACCTAGTAAATAGGGCATATACATATATCAGACCTATCAGGCATTAATTAGTGGATTAGTATTACTAAATAGAAAGGAAGTAGTTGTGAGAATATATTTTGCTTCAGATCCTTAATTTATTCAAAATTCTGAAGTAGCCTGTGGGAATAGGTGTCTTCTGCACATATTACATTTGGCTAAAAACAGGATGCTGGAGAGGAGATTTTGCAAAAACCTTGACAGCTTTCCTGAAGAAAATTAGAAGTAACCCAGAATACAATAAATTAATTCTGGGTAAACCTTCAAGTGGCTGAATGGTCAGAGAAGCACACAACAGTTTACATGCATCTCCAGAAGCAATCTGACCTTCCCACACCTGGAACATTTGGCTGAACATCTCTCAAGAATAACATCATTTATGGTATTTCAGATCTTTCGCTTCCAATCCAGGAAACACAGAGGGTAACCTAACTTTTGAACCTCAGAAAAGGTCAGAGGTTGTGATATTAGAGAAAGGAGTATCATTTGAACCTACAGGTTCACCCAGACCTAAATATAATGTACTTTTGTTACTGAATTGATGTTTGAGATAGAATGATAATGAACCATATGTACTATACACAGTGCCTTTCATCCAGCAGGATACCAAAGCACTTTACAAACTTTAGAAAGAAGAATCACTTCACAAGTCAGTGAAATATAATCACCTGACAGGTGAAATGTGGTGACTGTCTACTGTCTATCAGTGCAGAACAACACACTTTATTTTAATACAGGAAATGAAAAATGCTGTAGCCAATTGAAACTATGGGGTGGGTGGGTGATGGTGGGAAGGTCAAATAAGCACAACATAATTACAATTTGGCCAGGATGCTTGGGGTTGTGGTGCCTACTTTAACAAAATGTGCCATAGGATCTTTAATGACCATACATGGTCAGGACCTCAGTTTTAAGTCTCTAAGGATAAAAACATTGAAAAACAATGAAAGATACCTTTGTTGAATACATTTCTGGACAATGATATGTGCCAATTATTCTTCTGTCCTGTAAGTTAATAAAATCAAGACCAGTTTCCTTAGAGATAAGGTAGCTATTATCTTTCAGTAAAAATTAATGCACTATAGGGTATTAATATGATATGCATTTTCATTTAAAGGTACAGGGCCCTCTCAGCCAACAACCAGCGTAAGTGTATTGCGGCTTTAGAGGTGCTATTTATTACTGCCTTGGCCATGCCACCGTAAGTAACAGATTATGATGTAAATGTATTTTTTCCTACCGGTCATTTTGACCTAGGAAGACATGATGATATGAAAAGAATCATAGAAATTATTCTTGGGGGAAGTGGGCATAAAAGAGGTTTCAAAGGTGGTAGGAGAAGGTAAAAATATTTTGTGTTGAATGGTTGTTCAACCATACAACATGATTCCTTATGGTGAACAACAGAGGTCATAATGAAGAAATTCCTTGGGTGGAGGGAGGGGAAGAGGGAGGATGTGATAATGATGAAAAAAAGTTGCAATAAGAACTATGGAAAGAAAAGGTGAATTCAGAAATGGAAAAATGGTGCCTAGAGCACAGCACACATCTAAGAGTTTTTATCACCAGTCTAATGAGGAGGATGGCAAAATAAAAGGCATAAATAATATTCACAGTGCATCCTATTTGATCTGAGAAAAATGACGCTGGAGCCCTATAAGAGGGTTGCTGATTTTTTCTGATGACCTCCCAAACAAAATAAATACACAGAGAAGAGTGTTTAAATATCACCATAATATATTCTTCCTGCTATACAGAAACTCTAAATTGATGGCTATCTAAAGAAATCCCTGTTATACTTACCAATTATCCAATGTACACTATCATAAATTTACAACTTCTACATTCCTTCTAATGAGTAGACACATCTAGGAAGATTTACTTCCATCACTAATCACTCCTCTCTTTGGATGGTAGTAGGGAATCAGTATCTTGATTTTGCAGCATTATCTCTTGCTGTGTTCTACATTTACTCAGAAGTATATTTGTAATGGATAACTTAGCTACTCAAAACACATATATCAATGACATCTTTATTTTCTGGTATTCAAACAAAATTTTTGTTTAAACTATATAGTATGGATATTTGACTGAATATTTTAAACACAGCATGGCAAAGAAGAAATGTATAAGGGAGATATGATGGCTGGTATTTCTAACTGTGAAATCTGGGTGAAATAAGAACACAGAAATTATGCACAATTTCATTAGGTAAGGTTACCCCCTGCTAATGCCAGCCTGGTTCACTCTGGCAGGACAGGAAGAGCAGAAATATCTAATTTAGGCTTCATCATTTACATATATTGTAAGCAAACAACTAAGAGTCAACTCACTAAACTGGAACTGAAAGAAATATGCATTGGAATGGCATACCTACATCAAATTCCTGGGGACATAAAATTATCCTTCTAGAAAGAAAACTACCTGAATCTTATCTACAGGAACACCATTGGCTATTAAGGCATCAAGTGTACAGGAAGGAAGGAATACGGTATGGAGAAACTCTCTATATTCACTAGGGGAGAAGTCTCTGTAGTAATCCAATTTTACTCTTGAAAGTATTCAGACAATTAATGGTTTACAAATGGCAGCCCAGCTATGTGTAGCTGTTCTGGAATGGTAAATGTACTATTAAAACTAAACATAAATACAGTTCAAAATGCACGGTCAATTTTTCAAAATCTCCACATATGAAACTGTGCCACTAACCATGCACATATTCATTTGTGTCCTGACAAAAGAAACTGCTTTACTTTCAGAGCTGTAGGAACTGCTCAGAAAGAAACCTGACATTAAGCAAAACTCTTGAGAGTTCAGATTTTTGTAACAACTTGAAATAAACAGTTATTGTGAGAAAGTCATGAGAAGTAATTCTTCCATTCTACTTTGTGCCGATTAGGCCTCAATTGGAGTATTGTGTCCAATTCTGGGCACTGCATTTCAAGAAAGATGTGAAGAAATTGGAGAGGGTCTAGAGAAGAGCAACAAAAATGATTAAAGGTCTGGAAACCTGACTATGACAGAAGACTGAAAGAACTGGGTTTGTTTAGTTTGTAAAAGAGAAGACTGAGAGGGGACATGATAGCCCCTTTCAAGTACTGTACCTAAAAGGATGTTAACAAGGAGAAGGAAGAAAAATTTCTCCTTAACCTCTGGTGATAGGACAAGAAGCAATGGGCTTAAATTGTGGCAAGGGACTTTAAGTTTGTACATTATGAAACATTTCTTGTCAGGGTGGTTAATTCTAGGGAGGTTTTGGAATCTCCAATATTGGAGATATTTAAGAGCAGGTTAGAAAACCATCTCTCAGGGATGATCTAGATGGTGCTTGGTCCTGCCATGAGCAGAGGTACTTGACCTGATGACCTCTTGAGGCCCGTTGTAATTCTAGCATTCTATGATTCTATGTGGGTGAGACTATGTAGTTAACCCAAAGTAAGATGTAAGCAACATGGGCTGAGTTATGATTTCAGTTAATTTTGTTTCATTTCATGCCAAGATTGAAACCCAGATTCATCATGATTTCTTTCAGGTTATTGGGTTTATCTAAGCTATAAAACTCAAAGTAAATTAAAGGGGTTTAACACAGAGAGATAGGAAAACAGAAAGGAAACTTAAAAAAAATGAAAAAAACAAATGTGAACCAAGACACATTCCTAATTATATGCAACAAAATTCTCAGGAGCCTAATTTCACCCTCAAATGAGAGTCACTTTATGGATTTCTGTGGAAATTGTGAATGTGTACAAAATCTGTCACAAAAGCTTCAGTATTCTGAACATACAAAATGACTATGAACCAGAAACAAAAAAGTACATGGTTTTTAATATCCACTGCACAGGCACAGAATTCCATGCCTTGAAGACTTTTATTCTGCAACAGTTATTCAGGAAAGAAGGGGAAAAGGGGGAGGTTTTGGGCATGAAAATGAATGGAAGTTAAAAACTAAAACCATAACAAACTCCACATTTTCATGGATGGACATGACCCTATATTCCCTCATGTTCCTTCATGGTTTGTGCCAAACCCCTCTGAAGTCAATGGAAAGACTCACTGATTTTGAATCAGAACCTGAATTTGCTCTATAACTTTCAATGCGGAAGATACTATTGCGGAAGGCCAAGAGATGTGATTCTTGGTCTCCTTATATCGAGTCTCAATCCCCAGTCTCTAGTTTGCAGCAGTCATTTTGCAATACCAGTTATCTTTTGGGATGTTAAAAGTCAACCACTAAACATCTAAGGGGCCAGCAATCCATCTCCCAGAAAGGCTTCACTGTGGGCTCTGCAGTGTAAAGCTTATTTAGATGTTTAGTAAAATACAGGACTATGTAGCACTTTAAAGACTAACAAGATGGTTTATTAGATGATGAGCTTTCGTGGGCCAGATCCACTTCCTCAGATCAAGTAGTGGAAGAAAATAGTCACAATCATATATACCAAAGGATACAATTAAAAAAAATGAACACATATGAAAAGGACAAATTGTTCTGAAATGTGATTTGTCCTTTTCATATGTGTTCACTTTTTTTTAACTGTATCCTTTGGTATATATGGTTGTGACTATTTTCTTCCACTACTTGATCTGAGGAAGTGGGTCTGGCCCATGAAAGCTCATCATCTAATAAACCATCTTGTTAGTCTTTAAAGTGCTACATAGTCCTGTATTTTACTAAACATCTAAATAAGCTTTACACTGCAGAGCCCACAGTGAAGCCTTTCTGGGAGATGGATTGCTGGCCCCTGCTGGCCCAGCTCCCAGGGAGCAGGTTTCACTGACCTTCTACAGGTGAAACTGCCTCCAGAGATCTGGCTGAGTATAACCAACACCATTAACCGATAAGCATCAGGTTATCAGTTAAATGGTTAGTTGATTACACTCTAACTTCCCTATTATCCTACCCATTTCCAGGAGAAAATGGACACATGCACTTGAACCAGCAAGTGGAGAGAAGGATGAGGAGTAGCCTGTATAGATTAAATTTTGCCATCCCTATTTTTATCCAGGGAAACTTTATCCCTATCTTATTCCATAGCAGAATGGAAGGAACTCGGTATGTGAACAAAACCTTTAGATTGTGTGGTCATCATTTCCACGCACAAACTTTAGTTGACTATACCCCACAACTAAGCCTCTGAATCAGGAAACCATCCCAATTCAGGACAGATGCTTGTTAGATATTATGAATCCTCAGGGGAAGGAAGAAGGATTCATTAGGAGAAGGAAGAAGTTTTACGAGGCAAAGCAAGTAAGTAAACACAGAGATGAGCTAATACACAGGAAAACAATAGTGAATGTATTTCAGCTATCCCAAGGAATAAGCTTACACATATATAACAATTTTTTAATCTCTGTAATAATATTTGGCAAAGTAAATACCTTTTGTGATAACCCTTCACCCCATTTTAAACTACACTGTAATTTAGAAACCTAAAAATATGTAATTAGAAAATGTAATTAGTCCTTCATTGATCATGTTTAAAGGCAATCACCACCTCTTAACAAAATCTGAATGCAGAGAAAATGAGAAATCGGTAAAAATATGACATTATAAACCACCATAACTGAAGTGAAAAAAGATTCTTGACGCTTACCGCAAATCAAACTGTGAACCAATTTTTCTCAAATGAGCACACACCATAAATACTTTTTCCCATTTGGAAACTAATCTGAAGATTCTGAAGTTTAAAATTGGACCTGTCTGAATAATTTGTATGTTTTTAAACTGGACACCTTTTTTCTTTTTCTTTTTGCTATTGCAGCTGTTTGAATGGTCGCCTGAAAAGCCAATTATGCTGGAAATATTTGGTACCAATATGAAAAGATCTTACACCAGCCTTTGGAAATAGTTGTGCTTTGATACACACGAGACAGTCAAAATAATTCTGATAGTTTTTTGCATATCTAGCCCATTCTCAAAACAAACTCTGGTAAAATGAAGACAATCTATTTTTCCTACATGGAATCAAGAAAAATATACGAAGTGTTATGTGGCACAAGGGCATATTTAAACAAACTTGAAGATAAGAAACTAAGGATAAGATTGCATGACACCTTACATTGATTTTCATACTATATAATTGCTGGATTTCAGGTTGAACATTAGGATTTTTGAGATTGTCAGTTATAATTCCTTGTAGACCAGCTCAAAGATTAAGGGAGGCACAGGGATCATTGGCCTTAAAGAAGTAGTATTAAAGAATGCAAATAATATGGGGTGAAATTTCTCTTGATGTCAACAGAGCCAGATTATTCAGGGGAATCATTTTCAAATTTCCAGCCAAAGGAAAATGTTTATATTTTATGAAGGTTATCTTCATAACAAAGGAGCTAGAAATGTATTTATAAACACAGCTGAAAAAAATGAGTTTAGCAGTGATTTCAAATCTGAAAAATTGGCTGTGGGTTTCACTGAATGTCTGGCATCACTAAGATTAGCACTGCTCTGTTTTAAAGTAATTCAAAAAGCTCTTCCGTCATTTAATTTTTTAGAATTATATCAATAATGTGTGGTTTATTTGTACCTTGAAAATCTAGTTTTAAGGTGTGTTTTAAAGTGTTAAATATGAGTGAAGAGAACAGAATGAGGGTATCTGTTGCAAAAGAAACAAAGGAATTTTAGTCTTTTTCAAGTAAAATTCTGTATGCAAGTACATTATATATTTAGATTTATTCAACAGTTGATAGAGAGAGGGAATACACTATTTTGCCCCTTTTGCCATTTTCAGTTGGACATTTTTTTTAATGTTCAGAATAACCATAATACATACCCTATAGTATATATATAACAAGCCTTCAAATTTCAGAAAATTCAAATTATCAATGAAAAATAGAGTGGAAATTATTTTTGGAGCAAATGTTATAGTATTTACCAACTCTTTCGTGTACAGGCAGTTCTCAACTTTTTAACGTTCAATTTAAGATGAACAGCACTTATGACATTTTATGAATTGACACCCTGCTTCATCTTACAACATTAGGTTCAACTTTAGAACACTGGAAACCACAATGGAGTGGAATCCAAGTTATGATTAACAATGTAATTTTTGGGAATCAATTGTTTCATAAGTCCAAGAATTACCTGTATGTTCATGTATATAATGTATATCTAAAAATGGCAAAGTATTTAAAATTTTTGCATGCATGCACACAGGCATGCAAACACAGATAGCACGTTGTGTAACACAGGACTCCACTTCACAACAACATCCTCACTCCACGTATTTTAAGACCATACTATTTTTAATTCCGGCAAATCAAAAAGAATGCTTACATCTTGGGGGGGAAAGTGTAAAATGTCTAAAAATGTATTAGGCAAATGTCACCCTTAATTATTATGTATAGTGATATCAGTATTTTGTGTTTGAAACTGGCAAACACATGGGTTATTCAGGAAGCCCTGTCTTCTTCATTCTCTGAGGAAAAAGGGATCTTCCGAAAGAGGGGGATTTTCCGAAATTTGGCCCAGTGTATATGGGCCAAATTTCGGAAAAGCCTCTTCAGAAAAAAAAAATCGGAAAAAAGTACGCAAAATGTGAAATAATAATAATAATAAAAAAAGGTGTAGTGTAGACCTAGCCCAAGTGTAGCAGTGCTCAAAAGAATGTCTGGTAACTTTAAGCTTCTGGGTGATTTTAACCTTTATAGAACCGGGTTTGTTTTCTTAACTGTCTTCCCTGTTGATATCATACACGTTTGGAGAAGGAGCTGTCTTTTCATTCTGTGTTTGTACAATGCCCTGTGCAACAGTGTCCTGGCCCATGACTGGAATACTCAGATGTCACAATAATACTCTGTCTACATGGAACACTGCAATGTGACTGTACATTAATACCTTCCTGAGGATCAGCATTTTCTGTTTCTGAAAATCCAATCCAATCATAGAATTGTAGGGCTAAGAGAGACCTCAAGAGATCATCTAATCTAGTTCCCTGCACTCACAGAGGTTGTAAGTATTATGTAGACCACCCTTGACAGGAGCTTATCTAACCTGTTCTTAAAAATCAATAATGATGGAGATTCCACAACCTCTCTAGGCAATGTATTCCAGTATTTAACCATCCTGATAGGAAATGTTTCTGTGTCCAACCCAAGCCGCCCTTCCTACAGTTTAAGGTATCTGCTTCTTGTATTATTTTCAGATGTTAAGGAGAACAATTTTCTCCCTCATACTTATAACAATCTTTGAAAACGATTATTATGTCCCTGCTCTATCTTCTCTTCTGCAGACTAAACAAATCCAGCTTCTTCAATCTTCCCTAATAGGTCATGTTTTATAGAGCTTTAATTATTTTTGTTGCTGTTATATGGACTTTTTCCAACTTGTTCACATCTTTCCTGATATGTGGTGCCAAGAACAAGAAACAATACTTCAGCTGAGGCATGAATCAGCACAGAATAGAGCACAGAATAAGTGGAATTACTTCTGTCTTGCTTAGAACACTCTTGACGGTAAGGTAGCAATCATTTTTCATTATTTTTTAAATAAGGGAAACAACTCTGGGTTGAAATCTGATACTGCAATTTTGTTTTTTCAATAGTATTGAGGAATCAACTGCCTCTGTCTAGTAGAACCTAAGAAAAATAGACAAGGCATTAGAATACTTTTGTGTCTTTTACAGAACACAAGGCACTCACCAATACTATATCTATTTGGTGGGGAAATGTTGCAGAACATGGACTAAAAAATGTGTACTATCTCCCTCATCAAAACGACATTTAGTTAAATCCCAATTAACATGATACCAATAACGTGAATTTTGGATCACCTGATATGTTTTTCTCTCTCCAAATAATCTTAAAAAACCCAAACAACTATATCTGAAAATCAGATTATCTAAAGATTTCACACAATTCATATGTGGCAATTCTGTACCTGCCAATGATAATATTCTTAATGTTGTTCCTTCAAATAATAAAACTAATACTTTTTACTTAGTATATATTTGCAAGAGTTTGGGTGTCAGTTTGTCTGTCCATCTATCTGTAATTCTATTTATTCAAGATCTCCTTCTAAGTAGTAAGAGCTAGGACCACTAAATTTGGTCTGCAGCTTCCTCTTATGATATCTTAAAGCAACATAAAGGTTTGGTTGTGCCAGGACAATGGGATTTGCCTAGAATATGGCTATTTCTCATAAAATGCAAAAGGCGGGGTCTGCTAGCATGCACAGATATATGGCAGAATGACCACAGGGGAGCAGGCACACTGGTAAGAGATGTCTGGCTGGTGGCAGGGTTCTGGATGTTGCCAGCTACTATCAACTGGCAAGGTTCCTGTGTTGGTTAGCTGGAAGCTGGGCAACTGCCCCCCTCCTCCCATATGCTAGCCTGCTCCAGGGATCAAGCATCCAGGCAGCATGTCCCCAAATGCCTTGACTAGGCCCCAAGATTAGCCATGGGGATCTGCCAGGTGGACACCATGCCCCTGCCAGTGACTCACACATTCCAACCCCTTGCCCTGACTCCTACTCCCTCCACACCTATAGCCCCTTGCCTTGAGTCCCTCCTTAATGTCCTGAGTGATGCTGGGTAAATGTGAAAGTTTACTATATATCTGAGAGAGTTGTCTCTGTGTCTGTATGTTTGTTCAAGAAATCCTTCTAAACTGTTACAGCTAGGACCACCACATTTGGTATACAGCTTCCTTTTATATCATGGCTTAAAACAAGACAAGGGTTTAGTGTGCCAGGAAAATAGGATGTGCTTGAAATGAAATTGCGTCTCATAAAAATCTTTGTGAAAAGTGACAGAAACCGAGGAAAATGATGGGCTGGCTGGTGGCATGCAATCCCTTCTCCCCCATGTCCAGGGCTACCCCAACCCCAATCCCCCCCATCCCTAACTGTCCTTGATGAGGGCAGAGAGAGTGGCACAAGCTCCATCTCCCTAATTTGTTCAGGAACATTGCTATTCCTCTTTTACCTCTTTCTCAGGGAGCAAGGGGACAGTACACAATTTGCTTCATTCCTCACTCTAGCTAAGGAGCATAGGAGGCAGATAAATCGGGACTTAGCTGGGGGGGTCATGCACCTCTCCCCTGGCTGTGGCCACAGGAGGTGCAGCAGCCATAGAGAGGTGCTTCTCATGTGGCTTCAAGCCGTTGTGGTGAAAGAGGACTGGTGTCAGCCTGCAGACTAAATCCCTCATCCCCAGCTGCAACCCAGAATAATGATTTAAATGAAACATGTACATTTTTATTTTATTTTCCATAAAACAACATTTAATTGAGTTAGTAGGAGAAGTAGATGTGGGGGACAACCTTGGCAGCAATGATCATGAGAAGTTCAGGCTCCTGTTTAGAATCCTGAACAGAGGAAGAAAGGAGAGAAGTATAATTCAGACCCTGGCTTCAGAAAAGCAGACTTGGAGCCCCTCATGAAACTGATGGGCAAGATCCGCTGGAACGCTAATATGAAGGGGAAAGAAATCCAGGAGATCTGGCTGTGTTTTAAAGAAGCCGTATTGAAGGTGTGGGAACCTGATACACAGTAAGAAAAGCAAATATGGTAGGCAACCAGGTAGGCTTAATAGTGCAAAGTTTTGTGAGCTGAAACACAAGAAGGAAGCTTAAAAGAAGTGGAAACTTGGACAGATAACTACGAAGAATGTAAAAATATTGACCAGCATGCAGGGTGTAATCAGGAAGGCCAAAGCACAATTGGAATTGCACATAGCAAGGGATGTGAAGGATAACAAGAAAGGTTTCTACTGGCATATTTACAATAGAAAGGTGGTCAGGGAAGGTGTAGGATGTTTACTGAACAGGGAAGGCAACCAAGTTATAGATGATGTGGGAAAAGCTGAAATACTCAATGCTTTTTTGTCTCTGTCTTCATGGACAAGGTCAGCAGCCTGAGCAGCACAATATGGGGAGAAGGTGGCAGCCCTCAGTGGAGAAAAAACAGGTTAAGAATTTGTGATGGATAGGAGAAGTACTGGCCAGCATTCGGTGAAAGGGTTAAACTCAGGTAGCTTACAAGAGTGTTGGCAGGGGGGCCAGAAGAACCAATGAAGATACAATGCTGAAAACTGAATTGGATGTAGCTACCTGGTCTGCATTTTTCACTCTGGAGAGCTTTTCTTTTAAGCAGTGCCTATAGAGACAAAGTATTTTAGGTCTTTGTGGGCTCCCACCTTTTGCACTCAGAGTGCCAGAGTGGGGAATAGCTCTGACAGAGCTATTTAGAAAAGTTGGACATGCACAAATCCATGGGTCTAAATCTAACGCATCTGAGGATGCTGAGGGAGTTGGCTGAGGTGATTGCAGATCCACTGACCTTTAACTTTGAAAATGCATGGCATTTGGAGAGGTCCCAGAAAGTTGGAAAAAGGCAAAAGTCATACCCATCTTTTTAAAAATGGAAGAAGGAAGATCCAGGGAACTCCAGAAAGTCTCACCCCAGTCCCTGGAAATATCAGGCAGGTGATCCTCAAAGAATCAATTTTGAAGCACTTCGAAGAGAGGAAAGTGATCAGGAATAGTCAACTTGGGTTCACGAAGGCCAAATCATACCTAACCAACCTGATTGCCTTCTAGGATGAGGTAACTAGCTCTGTGGATATGGGGAAGGTGGTTGACATGATATACCCTGACTTTAGCAAAGCTTTCAATACTGTCTCCCACAGTATTCTTGTCAGCAAGTTAAAGAACTATGGGTTGTATAAATGGACTGTAAGGTAGATAGAAAGATGGCTAAATCATCAGGCTCAACGGGTAGTGATCAACAGCTCAATGTCTGGCAGGTGGTTGGTATGAAGCAGAGTGCCCCAAAGGTCAGTTCTGGGACTGGTTTTGTTCAACAACTTTATTCATGATCTGTATGAGGAGATGGATTGTACCCTGAGCAAGTTCACATATAACACTAAGTTAGGGGAATAGGCAGATATGCAGGAGAGCTGGGATAGGATCCAAAATGACCTAGACAAATTAGAGGATTGGGCCAAAAGAAATGTGATGAAGTTCAACAAGGACAAATGCAGAGTCCTGCACTTAGGATGGAAGAATCCCAAACACTGTTAAAAATGATTAGGAGGCTTGAGTACATGACTTAAGAGGAGAGGCTGGGATGATTTAACTGGGATTAGTTATTCTTAGAGGCTGTGTCTAGACTGCATTTTTCTGCTGCCGCTTTTTTCCGGCTCAGGGCTTTGCCGGAAAAAAAGTACCAGTCTAGACAGGGATCTTTCAGAAAATAAAGCCTCTTAAAAAAAGGAATAAGGGATCTTTCGGAAAAGGCTTTATTTTCTGAAAGATCCCCGTCTAGACTGGCACTTTTTTCCAGCAAAGCCCCGAGCCAGAAAAAAGCGGCAGCCATGTTTATGCAAATGAAGCAGGGGGGATTTAAATCCCCGTTTCATTTGCAATTGCGATGTGTCTAATTTGCATCCCCTTTACGGAAAAGGGATGCAGTCTAGACACAGCTTTAGGGATTGATTCAATGATCTTCTGATGTGTCTTCCAACCCTATGATTCTATGATTTATGGACCTGAGTAATGCTGGGTAAATAATCTAGTGCACAATAACCTCGTATGTATAGGTTTACCTGAAAGGTAAGGTTTACTATATTGACTTTAAATGCATGTAAGTGCTTGTTCAAGCTGACATCTTTAGTAGGGGCAGACAGAACCTAGCAGTATGATTTCCAGTCCCTTCTCTATTGTCAATAGGCAGAGGTTCCCCTATGTTTCATTTGCATTAAGTTTAATACAACTAAAGTTGTTACACTTATGTATTAATCTTTTGTTTGGCATAGTTATATCTGCTGTTACAAAATCTGAACTACAAACATGAAATTCAGAAGTATAGAGCCAGCTTGTTAATTTAGGGTCAGTTTGGATGACAGATTCTTAGATGATGTAAGCAGACTGATGTGCCTTAAAGAAGCAGAGAATGTGTGCATATTGTTCATACATGAATTAAAGATGGCATTGTGAGTATCACAACAGAAAACCCCACATGGCTGACATGACCTTTATTCTGATGTCAGTTGGATTACCATTATGGGCTGTATTGATAAGTTACCTTCTGATCACTTCTGTAAAAGGCCACGGGCTAAGATTGGAACTTTCTCAAATTGAATTCATATCAGATTCCTAGATAATGCTAATGGGGCAAAGGTTTTACTTTTTTCCTTTAATTTTGGATTTCAGGTGTTCTTCTGTGATGCATGAATGGCAAATGTAGGATGAAAGATGTGGGGTCAATGTTGGGTCTTTCCATTTAGGGTGTTTTTATTATCACTATCCATTTTTATGACAGATATTGTAATCTGGTTCAGCCAGGAATATAGCTTCGAGCTCAGCATCAAGAATAACTCTCAATACAGTTTTAGTAGTAGTATAAACAAACCCCAAACAAAACACACTTTTTTCTAAAGTAGAAAAAATTTAGTTGAAAATTGAGCAGTTAGAATGCTGTTTGTGCTGAATATCCCCCAAAGCACAGGGCA